GTTCTTCAGTTGTTGTTGTTGTTGGACATCGGCAAGGATGTCTAATAACGCTGTCTACAAACAAGAAATTTGGGATGCGAACAAACCACGAACCTTGCAGAAACATTGAAAGCAATAAATCAATAAACTAGCATATTAATTAGAATTTTATATTTATAAAGGTATTCTTCAAAACGGGACAAGTTTTTTTTTTTAATTTTTATTCGATGGGCCAGCTAAATAAAAATTACACAACACACAAAAAAGGACAATATTCACATTGCTGGTGAGTGTTTTTTTTTTTTTTTTTTTTTTTGTCTGAGGTGTAATTTTTGTTTCGCTGGCCCATTGAAAACAATGAACCACCTAGCTCAGCTTAAAACCGTGACAAGAAATAAGTTGATAAGGATCGTTGCTTTTATCACAATAATATCTCTCGGGAAACTCATCAATCTTACCGGGAGTTCACCGTGTTTAACTAGTAACGTCGCGTTAAGTTAGTTCGTCTCACTTTGTTAAACTTATAACCTGCTGGCTCTTCAGGGCTGCCAAACATACGGTTAGCTTTGTTGCTTAAAAGCTGGAAGCAATCGCTGGAATCATCGATCGCGCTAAGCGATTACCTTCAAAATTTGCAGGTCTTTCCCTTTGTCTGCCGAAATAAAATCGGTGATGAAAGACTAAAGTTCCCTCGACGCATTGCGGCAGTGGCGGCGTAGCAAAACTGGCTGGTGCCGCGTTCTGCCAAGCACGAGCATGTTGCCCTGAACGACGCTTGCACTGCACGAGCGTGAGTGCCTGGCAGAAACGCTAAAATGCAAGAGCTTGTTTATCTAACTTCTGCTACGCTTCGCTCGTTATATACTTCTCCTCACGTTAGCATGGACTATTGTTAGCCGCGCATGCTAAAAGAGCGAGCTATTTGCTTTGGATGAAGCATCGGCGGCTGCACGAGCGCTCGGGCAGCGAGTGCTCCAGTCCAGGCAGCCAAGGCTACCTGCTCGCGCTTGAACGGCCTTCGCAGTTGGTTGATGCTAAAAGCGCTGTCTACGAACAAGCCTACACGAGGTGTGGGCAGTGCGCTGGATTCGGATACCGTGCTCGAGTACTGCGATTCATCTCAGTGAAAAGGCAGAGAGCCCAAGAAGGAGACACGTTGTTTACAATAGTTTTTGCAGCAAGTCCCGCTTTTGACTGCCTCCCTTCGGGGGCTAGTTTTCTTCCGACCCACTTAGCTATATGCGGTAAGCAAAATTAGAATGCAAATTTTTTTCTCAGCTATTTAGTCTTAATAGCTTCGATACTAAGATACGAGTAAAACGGTGTACGACTCGAAAACAGGTCGCGTGAAAATCATGGACTTGGGTTTACGTATATAAGCCTGTCAATTGGCCGCGCCTTATTTAACACAATTTAAACTGATTTGTCTAAAAGATACAGCTTTATGTTTGTGAATTCGAAAAGAATATGTCACTATATGTCATTTATAACGTTTCTCGTTCATTCCAAACCGTCTCCCTCATGAGAGCGTCCTTAATTTTTTTGAGTAGCAAAGGGTCACTCGGAAAGTAATTTCAGCACTTGAACTTGAGTTTGATATTAAACCCGATTATATTTTATCGTAGAAGAAAATAAAGTAGCGTTTTCCTTGAGAAAGAGTCCCTGGCAGAATAAGTTTCAACCCAGGAAAGTAAACTTGAAAAACAAAAATTGGCAGCCACCTTTACCTTCACAGTCCCACAATTCATAAAACACTTTATAAAAAATTCGTGAGGGAATTGGTATGCCACGTGACGTGTATTTTGGCGCTAAATTTAGCGGGGAAACTGAATGATTGTATAGGGCGTCTTGTCACGTGACGTCGATTTCCCCCGTATAATTAAGCAGGAAAACTGGATTGCTACCTAGGTTGCACGACGTGAGTTTTCCCGCTAAATTGAGCGGGTAACTGAATTGGTGTGAAGGACACGTGACGTCAATTTTCCGCTTAATTTAGCGGGGAAATTGAATTGAAGTTTTGGCCACAAGACGTGCATTTTCCCGCTGAATTAGCGGGGAAACTGGGTTTATTATAGGCCGTGTGCCTTCAATTTACACAATGTGTATAGGCCCCGTGAAGCCCCTTTCTCCGCTAAATTTAACGGAAAATGCACGGCGGGACAAACGGACGGAGGACGGACGGACAAAATTATGGGATTCCCGGGGGTAGCTTTAAAAAGCATTACATGCTTTAAAATCAACATAATACGGGCCTGCCAAGGTTAGGCTTACCACTCTCTAAACAATTCGTCCTTTTCCGTTTTCATTTTCAGATTTCATATGCGGATAGGTATTTTTCCGTGCAATCCTCACTAGGCTCTTCAATACATTCGCTGGTTGCGTACTGCAAGCTGGCTTCTCCTATCAAAGACAATGAGTGCGGTGAAGCACGCTTCGGGGGAAAGGAAGGAGGAATGGCGAAAACGAGTTTTCGCAGTTTATAGCCTCAACCTATGGGGGGGGAGCCAGTTTTTTTTTTTTTTTTTTTTTAACGATATAGAAACCCCAAATTTGCGTGACTGAGGAACTGTCTGATTCCGAAAATAATATGCCTTTGTTACATAACATAAGAAAAAGAAACGAAAGTGGCGAATAACTTTATCACCTTCTACAGCAGTCCGCTGTTCAGCGTTTTTCCAAGACCTACTATTAATAACGCCTAAAAGTTTCGATATCAGCTAAAACAGTCACTGACAAGATGGGAACGGCAGGGAAAAGTTGCAATTGTTTCGCTTCCAGCGCGAGCTTCCTACTTTTGGCATCGCTTCGGCATCTCGCGAACTTCGAGCGTGCACGCGCAGTCAAAGCATGGCGGAAGGCAACACGCGCGTACCGGAGGACGGGCATTCGTACGAAACGTCGTTTCCGTTCTGTCAACGAATATAGCCTAGTTGATAAAGAAAAAAAAAACATTACGCGGAGCATGCTTTGAACAGCACTAGCTTAGTCAAGGCCCGAGGCCTCGAGAGAACTTTGCTTTACACAGAAATAAAACCGTTCTCTCCTGTCTTTGATGCAGCAACCGATAATAAGTCAGCGCTCGCCTCACGTAGCACCCGAAACACTCTTCTCCGTTTCACCATCGTCCCGTAGCCAGGGTTTCGGATGAAGACATTAACCAGGCACCGCTCCTAGCCCCCTAATGACGTTATCTTTTGCACGCTCGTGACGTTATCGTACGCGTCATCAAGAAAGGCTTCACTTTTTTTGTTGGTTTCTCAACCGCCACTTTGTTTCATCCACCGTTTTGAGTGTAACGCGACACAACTTTCGGAGTAACGCCGTTGTAGTAGGGACTTTTATCAAACCGTTACCGCGTTCCGCTTACCGGTACTGGAGCCTTTCAAGCATGATTTTAAGCTCGCGCCCCGCGGTCACGGCATTACTCGGGCGCGCGCTTAAAAGCATGCTTCAAAGAGTGTGCGGTACGCGGAACACGGTAACGGTTTGCTAAAAAGCCCTTACTGCTAGCGCGAACACGAAAGTCATCTGCCACATTTTCGCCCTTTCCTTCGACAGGAGGGAATCGGTGGGTCCCAATTTCATAACTTAGTTTAGGGCACCCAAATGAGCACTTACCACCAGACCAGTTGCCTCCATGACATCATTTCTAATCTAAGATAAAAACAAAACAACGAAAGAACCACAAATCGCGTGCTATTTACTATAATGCCTTATTCACATTGTGGCGGTCGAACCGCATGAGCGGAGCAGCCGCCTGGACATTCCGGTCAGTTTCACGCGAATTCGACGACGAAAACGAGCGCATTCCGCTTCGGGGTTGCGAGTCGAACGCCAGTGTGAATTGAGCATAAAGCCGCAGTCCAACTGCTCGCACGTAACGAAAAAAGACACGGCGTTTGCGCAGACATGAGGACAGATTTATGTGCGGACATACCGTAAGCACGCTCGAAGCACGGTTGCTTTACACATATATGTGTGCTTCGAAACATGTCTGCACACAAATTTTGTGCAACCAATGTGATCGTCCTACAAGAAAGAAACAGTGCCGGAAGGCTGTCTTTTGTATTATCTATACAAGCAGTACGAGCGGTGGCTTAAGGTTATCGCGCTCTGTACAGAGTGCGGCAACATGAATCGACCCTAGCGGCGTTCGGACCACGGTGGCATACGAGCCCATACGGGTAAAATCCGGGTAAGTGAAGCTGTCAAGAGAGACTGCCATATTTCCTATTGTCGCAGTCTGGCAGCCGGCTTTATAGCTTGGCGTACAAAAGGCGCCTTGTGCGGCATTTTAGCCCGTTTTGGCTAACACTCAACTGCACGAGCTCATGGTGGCCGTTCAGTATACGATTACGTCAAGCTGTGCCACGAGGGTCATGCCTTTTTTTTTTCCTTTTTTTTTTTTTTTTTTTTGCTAGGATCAACGTTGCGCCAGCGTCGTGGGGAGCAAGAAACGGCAGCTCGACCCTGAGGAAGCCGCCTTGACATGCGGTGGGGACCGCGCCTCTTTCCAGTTGAGGGACAGGCGGAAAGAAGAAGTGGGGGGTGGGGAGAACTCGACGCCAAAGCCTCCTTCCGTATTGATCAGCTTCTGTGAGAAAGCGCACGCCTGCCACCCCTCGATGAAAACGAGGAAGACAGCGAAAGAAAACCCCAACAGTAGATCCAAGTGGTGTGGGGAAGAACCAAACGCGAATCAGTTTGGGAAGGAGACGGGCGTGTCCTTTATCTTCTAAAATATCAAAGCATTTTTAAACTTTGGGAAAAAAATGAAAGTTGTCGTTGGCTTTCAGGAACTAGCTCATTCCCCATCCTGCCGCACCAACTTTCAGGGAAGAATGCGTTAAACTGAGACATGACGTGAACTAAAAACAAAACAAAAACGAAACACGCTCTCTCATTTATTCAGCCTTGACCCCGCGTTCGTCGTCTTTTTGCGATTTCCAGCGCGTAAGGCGGTAACAATCCGTTTCGGCGGCAGCAAGGCCGTATTCGATTCACTCCGCCACTTCACTCACCGGGTGCGACGGTCTGGTTGGCGGGCGATGCCGACGGAGCGGCTGCAGCGCCATCCAGGGCAGCGTTCCGAGGCAGCCAGCCGCCCAGGAAGAGCGGTAGCAGTAACACGGCCCACGGTAGCATCGTTCACTCCGAGACAGGGACACGTTTGCAGCGAGAAGGGAATGGACGGTCCCGTGCTAAGTCCGGCCGAGGGCCATGCCGTGGTAGTCGCGCGAGCACTCCCTCCACTGCGACACACCGCCTGCGTCGGTGGCCCGGACGCAGAACCAACCCGTGCCCTGCGCTGCTCTTAGTTGCTCGCCACACCGCCAGGGGAGTTGCAGCGCCGCCCAAACCGCCATATTGGACTTCTGTTTGTGATTTTGCTTTGGCACGACCCGGTTAGAACGCTGCGCTGGGAGCCTAGGTAGGGAGCCCCGATTTAAGAGAGGAGGCAGCTGTAACCACGAAGAGCGTCAGAGACGTAATGGCAGACACCTTCCCCACAGATTGCTTGTTAGTGCGCATGCGTGAGTTGGCGCGTGGTGAGAAGGATTGCGAGCGGAGAGGCTGAGCCAAGTTCGGAGATGCTTGGGGGCCATCCCCTCTGGAGTCTCCTCCTTGCAGCTCCTTTTGCAAACGCGGCCCATAAACCACGTGACCACGATCGAGTGGCTGGAGACACTCTAAAATCTAGGCACACTAAATGAACGGGTGGACCAAGTGCCGCCATCTGTAGTTGTGAATGCGAGGCTCCTGTCTAAAGACACTGCCCCATCATAGCTCCAGTCCACCCTTTTTCGAGCGGTTGGAACTTGGAGAACCGATCGGAGCAACTCTCCGGAAATCGACTGAGACTGGTAGCCTCAGCGGTCCAAGGAAAGCGACAGGATATCGGCGATCTCCTTTGATTGGGACCTTAATTTTTCCAGGTTTGTGTTTTGCCCAAAGTGTTCGAATTCATTTCGTCTCGTGTATCCCTTTCTTGTGCCTACGTAGCGCGCGGAACAGTTTATCAAGGTTTCTGAAGAGCCGGAAGACAAATTTCGTTTTTTGCAAATAAAGAACCGCTCTGCCAGCGGTTAAAAAAGCTCTAGGAGTAGTATACGTATATATACATATACCGATTTCTGAAATGTCTTTTCATATTATTATGTATATATAATATATATAAATATATTTATATATATATAAAGACCGAAACCTTATCTTTCATTTTATCACTGCAGTATGCAGATATCGCTATAGTGAAGTCAACTTTTGACACATTTTTTCTAAAAGCCGATCCAGCAAAAGTCACAACTAATCGTATCAGTGCTTTGAGTGAGTGCAGATACAAGCAGCGTGCTCATGAAAGCAGTGTACTTTCATGACCCATGCATCCTAATTAGTGATGAGGCGAAACGTTTTCCGAACCGGTTTTGAAAAGCTTCCGCAAAACGACCGAACCCGCGGTGTTTCGGATAGGTTTGGATAGTTTCGGAGCGTTGCCAGAGTTGCCAGACCAGATTATTGAGCGTTGCAACTTTTTTTAATAAAACAATCTTATATACCATTTTCAAGAACTAAAACTTTAAATATAAATACCTAATTCGACCAAAAAATTGTTCAGATGAAATCTTAGATGCACAGAAATAGAATAACAGACAACAAGACGCAAAATATTTAGACTTTGTGTCGTTGGTCGAAATGGTTTCGATTTTGTAACTTCCATAGTCGCGTCGTCACGTGACCAAAACAAAAAGGTACCGGTAGGCGTAATCAATCATCACAAATTCCAAAGCTAGTTTTCGTCGCATCAGTAGCTCGACGACGTGTGTGGTGTTCGTTCCAAGCGCCGGGAATGTTGTGGTTTACGATGACACATCACAGGTGGCTTCTGGAAGTGACTGTGTCGGAAGACCTCCGATATCTGTGTTATGCAATCGAGAATATGCGCACGTGCTGCCCGAGACCTCCTGTACTGTATACAGGTATCATGTTTATAAGAAATAAACGCTGTAGATATAGGTACAGTTGGTTCCAACTGTACCTAGATCGACGCGGGTACTTATGTACGTTTCAAAGGGGTCGCACCGAGCGACTATTTTCCATAGCATGCACAGGCTTCAAACAAATTGCGAAGCTAAAACTATTTGTACAGTATTAGGGGCGTAGCCAGAGGGGAGGGGGGGGGGGCTTACGGGGCTTCAGCCTCCCCCCCTCCCCCAATATCCAGCTGACGGTATAGTATACACATCCATTTTGACCCCCCCCCCCCCTTCCCTTTTTGCACCCCAAGTCATGGACATCTCAGCCACTTCAGCCCCCCCCCCCCCCCCCCCTTTCCCCACTCTTCGAGAAAGACTCCTGGCTACGCCATTGCACAGTACCGATTAACGAAGTTTGCTTCGTTTGCCGTCACTATCTGCTACAGTGGCTGTGTAACTCATTTCTAGTTCTTCAGAAAGATACTAATTCATTGCTTACCCAAAGACGTTTATTGCTTGTGCATCACAGTTGGGCACGTTTCACGCAGAATGCTGCGCTGAAGACCAATGGCAGCGTTTTTCCAGAGTGAAAATGGAATCTCCGATCAGTCAACCGTGATTCGTGACAGAAATGCACACACTGCACCAGAGTTCTGACACTTGGACACGCACAAGCTACCAAAGAGGTTTGATTTTTGAGCTCCTGCCGTCAAACTGGCCGTCACTTCGAGCACGGATCAAGAACGCGCTCGATAGATCGACACGCCCACAAACCTCAGCAGAGGTTCGTAGGATTTACAAAAGTCTCCTACATTCCGCTGGCAACCTTCTGTATAATGCTATAACGCAGAAATTAAACCGAAAACCGATCGAATGTTGGTTTGCATCAATGTTTAGAGTCATGAAACATTCACAACGCCCACAAAACCGAAAATAACAACACGATGTTGGCTAAATAGCGACGAAACTGCCGAACGAAATGTCGGTTGTTTCAACCGACATTTCGTTCAAAGCGTTCCGAAATATTTTGAAACAGTTCGAAACCGAACCTTTGGAGTTTCGCCCCATCACTAAATCTAATGCGTTGCACCCTAAGCCTCTTTCACTTTCTTCACCCTTCGAAATGGAGCCTGGATCTGGCTTACTCATGGCGGCACTAATTGAACTCAACTGCTTCCTTTAATGGCAGCTAGGTTTGTACTCTTTTGACCATCGGAGGCTACATCCCGTCAATGGCAACATTATCACTGCAAATTTCATTCTACTCGTCGTCGAGCTTGAGGTTTGTGACGCCGTGAGGGTCTCGCCCCACAAAGAGAACACACAACGAACAGTGCTCGCAAACATGTCCAACCACCGTTAGAAACCACCTTCTTGTTTTCACACTTGAACATCACAAAAAGTACTGCGAAAGGTCGCTTGGGTCGCCAAAGAGCACATTCGGTATAGTTGGCGGACAAGTTTCTGTGTTTGTCGCACTAGTGCCGTAACAGATGGACACCATAGGGAAAGCTTCAAACGTGCCACAAGCAGGCGGCCAATTTCCTTTTCTTTGTGGCCCCGATTGTTCTGGGGACGAAAAACTAATTCGGTGTTGCGTAATGTAGGCGGCCAAGGTACGCGCTGAGCAGTAAAGTCAAAAGAGTGAGAGATGAGGTGACTTCATTGGTAACCGTCAGTGGCGTAGCCAGGATTTCTTTTTTTTTGGGGGGGGGGGGGGGGGAGGGGTTTAACAACATTACTACCCCCCCCCCCCCCCCCCCAATGATGAAGTAGGGTGAACTCGGCGGTACGGACGTTCACGCAAAGATTAGGGAGGCGGTGTTAAGATAAAATGGGAAAAGCTGCATTGTCATTTTTTCAAAACAGAGCAGGCTTCATTTGCAGGAATGTGGGCGTGGTGGCTCACTGTTTTACTCTCGTCGTAGTTGCGGCCAACAAACTTTAAAAGCTTCCTCGCAGCACACAGCTCGCTCCGCTTTTTTAGGTACCACTGCATCACCAACGCGTGCCGGCCAGAAAAAAAAACAAAAGGATAGCTATACTGTTACAAGAAATTAAACTGCAAAACAAAAAGAAAAAAAAATCTCGACGCTGAAAAATCAGAGCAAGCGTTCACGCACAAACACTAGGCAATATTCCAAGACGCCATTAAAATGGCCGAGACAGCGGAAGTTGAAATTTAGATGCCGCGAGTAACAAGTTGGCAACGTCACCGCTCTAACATTCCCGCTGGAAGCGCGGAAGAGCATTTTAAGCGTTCCGTGTTCCTTCCTATCATTGATTACCTGACCACACAAATGGGAGATTTAAAAAGCACGGCGTACGTTGTAATTACTTTCGACGCTTCCGCCTGCAAATATCTTGGAAAGCGGGACAACTCCCGGCGCCCAACAGGTTTTGGGGCTTAACGCAGGCCTGGTTTCAGTTCCTGAACTCCAATGCGAGCTGCTCATATGGGTTGCCAAATGCAAGAAGCAGAAACATGAAACGGCCGACACGTCTGCGCTGCAAGTGGTCGATCTCTGTCCGAAGGCCCTTTTCCCAAACGTCCATCGTCTTCTCAAGATCTTAGCAACTCTGCCCGTAACAACGGCGGAAGCTGAGCGCTCGTTCTCTTCACAACGACAATTGAAAACATACCTGAGAGCGTCCACTTCGAATGAGCGACTGCTCGGTCTAGCGCTTTTGAATGTTCACCGCGACATTGAGGTTCAAGCTGAGGACGCCCTAAATATTTTTTGCCGTGAACGCAAGCGGCTGCATCTTAATATGTAGGCGCTTGGCATAAATAAGATGATCAAGAGAGCCTGTAAGTTGCTTTCTGAAATAAGTAGTCACAGTAACTTTTTTATTCGTGGTGATTACTAGTCGAAAGCACGTAATTCTGTTCAGTACTCAACGTGTGCGTGAGCGCTGTGCCACCCGTTACTTAGAGTGAAATTGTTTTTACATTTCATTTAAAATCTTGAATCACTGACATTGTTTTATATTATCACCATATGTTCGTTTTATGTTCGCTTTGGTTTGATTCAACTGTGTATTTTAATGAGGATCGTTTGTCATACTTGGCCATGAAATTGCCTTCCTTCACCCCACAAATGTTTGGAAATATCCGTTCTCTATATATTTGAGATCAAGTTCTGCATCTCATCAAATAAACATGAATGA